ACTTTCTTTGCTCCAATGCATATTCCTTGCTTCTTTGTCAAAGATTAGTTGACCATAAATCTGTGGGTTTATTTCTGGATTTTCTATTTGATTCCGTTGGTCTGTGTGTCTGTTCTTGTTCCAATACCATGCAGTTTTGATGATTATGGCTTTGTAGTATAGTTTGAAGTCTGGGAGTGTGATGCCTCCATTCCCTTCTTTTCTTTTTCTTTTTTTTTTTTTTTTTTGCAGGAGATCTTTGGCTGAATTTCATCAATAATTGTTCTATTTCTTTGAAGAATGACATTGAAATTTTTATTGGAATAGCATTGAATCTGTATATTGCTTTTGAAGCCAGGCTTTTTTCTGAGTAGGAGTTTAAATGCCCTGTGACAGGTTTGCCATATCAAGCAGAGCCAGTTGGTTCTTCCTGGGTGGGTATTTGGTAGCTTTCTTATGGCAACCTCAGAATGTGAGGTCTCTGTCAAGATCAGGGCCACTATTACTTCTGATTCTCTGCGGCATCTGAGCTCTTTAGAGGAAATACTTATTTTTTTTTTGGAGAATTATACATTGTGAGTCATTATTTTAGGTTTTGGTCTGCCAATCTCTTCATCAAAGAGCTTATAGATAGGGTAGAAACATTAGTAAAATTTTACTATATCAAACGTTAACACTACCAAAAGTTTAATTGGGTGATTTAGTCCAAATTTTACTTCAAAATGTGTCTCATTCTTTTACAATTTCTCTGGTTTCTAAATATTATCCATAATTGTTTCAGATCAAATATCGGCCAAATTCTTAAAGTAGGTCTTAAGCATTGAACTTGTGCCTGTTTGGCCTTCAAAAGTAAATGATGTGTTCTTTCTGAGGCTCCAGTATGCACACTGTGTCTTAGTTTAGAAACTGAAGTGATATTTAATCTTCCAAAGAAGTGTTTGTTATATGGACTCCCCAGGGGAGACAATGAACCCCTGAAGGACTCACTTCTTGAACTTTTCACCTTAGAAGTATTTAAATAAAAATGCATCTTTGTTCCTAGCACCCAACCAGTCCAGTTAATTTTGATTACCTTAAACACCTTAATTAAGATATTTCCTAGATTGTGAAAATCCTGTTAAAATGCTGAAACAAGAATGAGATAAGACTCTTGAGTGAGCGTGTACAGTCTGGATGTTACGCTTAACATCTACGTATTGTATAATGTCACCAAGATGCAAACTTGGCTTCAGCTCTAACAAATCCTGATGGGAAAATGTTCTGAATTTTGTTATTATTTTTGCACATTATTCAATCATAAAGAGTCTGTTCTTGTGAACTAACGATCAGGTGGTCATGAAGGTTTTTGTTAGCTCTGGGAATATCAATCAGTTTGCTTCAAATAAGTGTGCACTAATGGAGCTCAGTTCTGCAGAGGCAGCGAATGAGCTGCTCCAGAGAAGGAAGCAGGCCTCCCCTTGCCCTGCTCCCTCTAATTGATTGGAAGAGCGGTGTAGAAGGCTCTGAAAAGTCTGCATGTAGGGTTGAGGGAATGCTAGCTCTTTTTCTTTGCTGAACTAGAATGTAATCAGAAACCTGAGCTGCTTACCCAAAAAAGCAGTCTTCACATTGGGGGTATTTCCTCTTGATTTGATCCTGATAACTAGCTGACTAGCTCCCCATTTGTTCACACTGCTTGTCAGTTTATTCATCTGTCAAATAGACATGACAATATCTACTTCATGAATCTGTGCTGGAATCATCCTCCATTCACATAGTAAGGGCTCAATGAATATCCTCCTGCCCCAACATAATCTCCTCTTCCCCAAGAGTATAAACAGCTCAGTTGTAAACAAATCAAAGCATAGTCAGGGGCAAAACTGATTCAAGATATATTTGCAATAAATCCACACTTCAAAGCATTTGAACTAAAACTACCTCTTATAAGGGCCTCTCCTGGTGGCGCAGTGGGTTGAGCGCAGTGCTGTGAAGCTATCTGCAGCCTCTGCAGTGTGGGTTCGATCCCAGCCGGCCGACAAGATACCCACATGGCGCAGCAGACCTCTCCTGTCTCTCCCGCTGCTCCCCTCAGCAATGTATTTCAGTCAGTCTACCTGTTCTGTTCCCTGCTCTGTCTCTGGTGAATCCTCTCACCCTCCCACACCTCTGGCCTGTACCCCGGTTCTTGTATGCATGAATAAATAAATCTTTTTTAAAAAAACTACCCCTTATAAATAAATGATATCACCTTTCTGCTGTTCTACCTAAAAGAACAGCTCTTAGAACTCTGAGGAATGTAAAGAAACTTACACATCTTAGAAAAACCAAGGCCAGGATTATACTTCCAAGCAAGACCAGCTTGTTGACTGGAAAGAGACAGAAGAAAAAATATCTCCACCTCATGAGACTTTGCCTACCTGAAAGTGTTGCTGTTGCTCTGAGAGAGATTAATTTGGCAAGTCAGAGACTTAAGAGACTTTTGTCATTCAAAATGTGCCCAGAATCATTCGTTGCCCATAATTCATTCACTAAGATGGCTTACTTCCCTCCTAAAATGTAGGCAAATACTGGTTGCACTGAGTAAATGCCCTAAATGTCATGGTTTGATGGGGAAGAAGAGAGAAAGTACATGGTGCATCCAAGGAGCGAAGGAGGCTACTCTGGTTTTAGAGAGAAGAATGGATTCAGTGTTGACTCAGATTTGACTCTGGGAGTTGGAATCAAGTGTACCTAGAATTTAGGGACAATAATCTCACCCTTTATCTACACTGCTTTGTTTCTTGCCCTTAGAACCTATCTCATTAGTAGAGCAGTAATTCTATCTTTTCTCTTTTCTAAATTATAATTTAAATAAGTTTTCTGGACTAGCCAGGTTCCTACCCACCCTTGTAAATACAGTGATGAATGGGGGATAATAGCTCTACTAACAGATAGGCAGCTTAGAAATGAACTTGTGAAGCCAAAGCTGATCTTAACTTGTTATATTGGAGCTAGTGATGATTCCTAACAGCTTATTATGGTCAAATTACAGATGCATCACTAGGAGTATTAGTTGTTGCATTTGCCACAGAGGCAGGAGGGATGTGAGGGAGGTTAGAAAGTGAGATGTGAGTCCAGATTGCCTGGATCTAAATCCCAGCTCTGCCACTTGATTAGATATTTGACTTTGATAGAGAGCAGCTATTTGTCTTGGGCAGGTTTTCGGTTCACGCTAATGAGATTTCTCCATCAGGAAATTGATGGTAGAATAGTACCTAGTTCCTGGGGTTTTTATAAGGATTAAATTTATGAAACATAAAGATAAATTTACTAACATGCTGACAACACTGCCTGGCATGTGGCAGGAGCTCAGTGAGCAGGAGCTATTTGCTATTTAAGTGGTACAACCAATATGGGCATACTTTTGTCTCCACTTCGCCACATTTTCCAAGTAAACTTTTCTTCCTTAAACATTTTATTGTTGCATTGGAAGAAGGCAATAAACGTTTTCCTAAAGGCCCTGAAAACTGGGTTAGTCAGATTTTCTAGTCACATAGAATCAGACTCTTAATTAAAATATCAGAGCATATATTCAAAGAATGCATAGTCCTTGGTAGCTGAGACCCAACAACTGAAATTGGAGTTGTAGAAACAATTGAAATGAACTTTCATAAAGGATCCCATTTCATAAGAAGTTAGGATGGGGCCTTCCTGGTGGCACAGGCATTAAAGACAGCGCTATCAAGCTATTGCCAGCCACTGCAGCATAAGTTCAATCCCCTGCTGGCCAGGAGCAATCCACATGGTGCAGCAGACCTCTCTTGTCTCGCTCGCTGCTCCCCTCAGCAGTGTATTTCAGTCAGTCTGCCTGTTCTACTCTCCTCTCTCTGGTGAATCCTCTCAAACTACCCCCCCCCCACACACACACACACCTACCTCTGGTCTACACCCCAGTTTTTCTATGCGTAAATAAATAAATCTTTGGGGGGAAAAGTTAGGATGGTTCAAACTCTTTAAAGGCTGCTTGCTTCCTTAAGAGAACTTGTCTACCTAGTATTCACTACCCTTTCCCCAACTTCTAGCTTTTAAATAACTTACACTTTTCTATAGTTTACATGTTTTGTGTTTTTTTTCCAATAAAATTGCAAATCTTAGTAATAGCAGGGCCAAGTTTTGAAAATATTTAAAACATAAAAATAAGTTCCTATCCTTGCACAAAGGAAAATAAATTAGGGGATAGGGAGAAGGAACAAATTTAATTCAATACTCTTGTTAATTTCCAAACATTTCAAAAATCATACATAATTTGATTTGTGTGTAGAGCTGTATTTTTAAAAGTGTATGTCAAACTTCCAGGGGTAGAAAGAAAATGAAGAGGGAATTTACTGGCTTCCCCCCCCATATTCCCCTAAATTTTCAGGGAAATTTTTTGGGAAAAAGCCTGCTTATTTTGAAGTCTGCTCTTGCCAACCACTAACAAGTCTGTGTAATACTGCTACCAAGGCAATATCTTGACTATGTAGTCAGAAAGTGTGGTGTGCAGACAGGATGAAACTAGATTAACAATGTGAATAGAAGTTTTTTAAATTAGAAAGAAAAGAAAATCTCACTGCTTTGTATAAGTGGTTATGACATTAGCAGTTCTAACATCTGTTATTACAAAGGAACTTGGTTATAGCAGGATTTTTCTTTATTGCCTTGTTCTTGGGTACAGGGATACATGGATACATTCCAGTGATGCCCCTCCCTTGTAACTCCACTGAGTCCTGTGAACCTGGATTCCACCCCATTCAAGTTAGACAAAGAAATGTTTCACTTGCTAAAAGCAGGAACATTTTTTTCTCCACATTCTACTTGAAGCCCCTGGATTCAGACAGACCCTTCCAGACACCAGTTGAAACAACAGATGCATCCATTTCTCCCAAAGCAGCCCAGATATCGCTGCTTAAAATCAATTGACTATATGTGACAGGAGTAACCACCATCCAAACACCTGATCATTTTTCTATGGCTGTTATTTCAGCTTCAAAAATGTCTTCATTTTCCTCCTGTTTTCCCTTCAGGTACAATCCTTGGATTTACCCTCCGACCATACAAAATGAGCTACCGGGAAGTCAAGTATTTCTCCTTTCCTGGGGAACTTTTGATGAGGATGTTACAGATGCTGGTGTTACCCCTTATCGTCTCCAGTCTTGTCACAGGTACCATATGCCTTTTTTTTTCCTAAGTGTGCTTATGGCAAAAGATTGCTTAGAAAAGCAAATGCTTTATGTTTCTGCTGGATGCATGCTCTGTTCTAGAAAAAAAAAAAAAGTCCCTTCAAAATGATGGAAAGGAGGCTTTAGTAATGCATGAATGATTATAACTCTCGTATTTTACCAATCACAAGAGGAAACGGATTGAAACAGCCACGTAATTGGTCAGCCTCACTCCCAAAGAGGCACCCTGCTAAACACTACACAACCAGCCTTCTCTGACCACAGCGATATAGTTGACAACAGCGTACAACAGGTCTGTTTTCTCACCCTCTTATCCCACCCAGATAACATCTGGTTGGACAGCCTATTAGCTATTGATGCAAGAATGCTTGTTCTCAGAGCCACCAGGACTTGAGCGGGAGCCTTCTTGGAAGCCTCATCAAGAGGTAATGCCCACAACACACTCACCAACTCTGCTGCCACCAACACTTTATCTTTTCCTGGTGAACCCGCATGATTTCATTTCCTTCTCCAGTTGTCCCCACCCACCCCCATGACCTTTTACGCTGGTGGGAGAATGGGGAGGGGGTGGGAGATTTCCCCGTCTGGATCTTTTGTTAGTGAGATTCTTTGATTTTCAATGAGTGGAAAAATTGGCAGGACAGGATTCTGTTTTCTAGGACAGTGAGTTAACAATTTACTCCTGCATGGGAAATGGTTAAAGAGGCATTTGTGTGTGTGATTGGTGAACACAGAGCCAAGTAATTAAAAAAAAAAAAAAATGTGACTGTACGTTCCTTCCTGCCCACTCTTCTCTTTCCCCACAGCACATCTCTGACTTGGAGAAGGAATTTCCATAGACACTGCCCCAGCAGGATGGTTTCTGGGTTTGTAGCTAAAGCCCAGAACTCAGGTATTACTGACCCTGTTCTCTTTCCCACCCTTGGCTCACCGTCCTCCCTTAGGCAGAACACTTGGCCTCCTTGTGAGCTGATCTGAGATCTTTCCTCCTCCCAGGGAGTTCTCAAGGATATTTATAATCTTCTTTCAAGATCTCTCTGTAATAAGAACTTCATAGGTCAACTCCGAAGTCGTGGGGAAAGATTCTGGCCACTACATGCCTTGGAGTGCTGGCCGTTACTTGGACAGAAACTATGTCAGTTTTGTTTTGTTTTTTTTTCTCTGCTGGCTTCTACTTGTCCAGAGCTTTAAGCAAGTGATTGCTTGTATGCCAAGGACGCCCATATGGAGGATGATGGCCCATAAAACAATCATGTAGGCAGGATGATTAGGGCACTTGTTGAAACTGCCCTGATCCATTGCTGGCTAGAGGTAATCGTAGCAGCCACAATTCTTATCATAGAAGAGAGATTAAATCTGACGTGATTGCACATCCTTGTCTTATTATCCACGTGATACCATCTTTCTGGAAAGCAAACTCTTCACAGTTAGCACTTACAGAACAGAATTTATATCCACCATATTATTTCATGGAGCAAGGAATTCTTGGCCCTCTCTATTAGTGGGAGTCTGAAATGAGTAACTGCAGTCTCCCTCACACTATACTAAGGGGTCGTGGATTTCCTAACACTATTTCTTCAAGGACTGACCAGCGTTAGCAGTTTCTGCTTTCTGTAATTGGGCAAAAATTGTGTTACCCTTTATAAGAGGAAAGCCCTCATTCAGTACAACTAGAGAAAGTATTATTTCCCTTAGTAGCAATTCTAGTTAACAGTTGCCTTGAATTGCAATTTTCTTGTGTTTTCTAATACTTAATATATAACTTTATCAGAGGAATAAGAGCTTTCACAGAGTAATTTGCAGAAATAAAACACTATGATGCAATCCTTTTGCATGGTTAAAAAGAAATATGTGGGAGGGCCTCCCCTGGTGGCACAGCAGTTGAGCACTGGGCTGCGAGGCTGCCCGCAGCCTCTGCAGCGCTGGTTCGTTCCCTGGCCGCCAGCAAGGGTCCCACAAAAAAAAAAAAAAAGAAAGAAATATGTGGGGAAACCTTGGAGAAATTGCCAGTTGCCAGCAACCTATGTAAACTTTTAAAATGTAACCTAATTGCAAGTTGAGATCATTTAGTGAGGCTCAGCTCTTCTTTAGACCCTGTGAAGACCAGAAGTTTGAGGGGCATAATTTTCTAAAGATCTTTTTAAGATGTTAGTCTTAAAGAAGTAATTTCCAAGCTGTCCAGTAACTTGGATACTTACAATCAATTGGAATGAATGATTCAAGAAGAATTTTCTTCAGAGTTTTAAGTACAATGATTATGAACCCAAGAGGGATATGACCCATGGAAATGAGGAGGAGGGGTGATACTTCTGGAGATTGAACACCCACCTCGAGACTCCCTGTGTGGATCAAGAGATGTTCTTGGAGAATGAGCTGCCTAGAGGGGAGCAAAGGTATGGCCACCATTTTAGAATGGAAAAGCAAAGGCAAATGCAACTGGTAGGCAAGCAGTAACATCAATATAGGAAACTGACATTCAGGTTCCTCATTGTTGTCCTACTTTGATAAAGCCATGGATACATAGAAATAGTTCTCTTCAGCAGGAAAAGCAACAGGAATAAGTGTGATGGTGAGTGAGAAGTGAAGTGACCCAGCTGCAGAATAGTGTATACAAAGAGAGGCAAAGGGACTACTGTGTCTTGAAAAGTATCAGCTCTGGTCAGTGTTGCCATGTGTCAACAAGGGCCAAATCTTCCCATTTTTCAAAAGAATCAAGAATCCAGAAGTTCAAACATTTTTAAGAACCTTCAGATTTTTAACTGTTCAATATAATTAACAGGACAAAACACTGCAAGCTAAACAAAATGTATTTGTGGGGCTGATCCAACACTTGCATTATTCCATCAGAATTCAGGTTTGAATATCGGTGCTGTTGATTATGGGAAATGCACTGCTGGACCTGTGCTATCAGGCTGTCACTGGGTGTCACATGTTGCCTTATTCCACTGTTGACAGTTAAGCCAAAGCTTAACATGGAAATAACTCTCAAGCATCATATTTATTGTTACCTAAACAGCTCCACTCTATTTTCTAGGTATACCTATGTTGCATAAGAGTTACACCGCTCTTTTCTGTACCCAACATTAGAATAGGAACTCAGAGGTCATGCTCTCCACAGAGAGTATTTCCCAATGGGAAAATGCTTGACAGATTTAGTGCTCTTAAGTTCAACAGTCCTTGGGTTTGTGAGAATAGAAATTAAAATGCATGAAAAACTATATTGCATTTCTTAGACTAGATTTTGATTTTGCAAATTCTGTCCATTTAACTGTACTAAAGTCACATAAATTTGAGAAATCCAAGTTAAATTTTTGTTTCCGAAACCACCGTGTTTGTGAGTTATAGCTCTAGAGTCCCTGTAAGCCACATTTTCCTTTTCCTGAATCTGAAATATCAATCTTCCCAAACATCCTTGGTGTACATTAGCATTCTAGAAGCTGCCAGAGAGAAGCTGGGAGAAAGCCTAATGGCTAGATTTGTACTCAAGTACCTTTTTTTTTTTTTTTAACAAGCAGAGTATGTCTGTGCCAACACACCACACAATAAAATAGGGATTTGGCGCCAATTTCTATTGATTTGGTCGGGGTAGGCAGCCAAACTAGGTACTTCATGCCAGAAATATGAGTTGGTTTGACTGACTTAGTCTGATTAAACTCACTAGATAATAATTAAACTCCATTTCAGGTTGTGCTGTATAAACATATCACCTCCTCCTTACTTTGAAATCTTTTCAGAAAACTAGTGCCTCTTTTCTATTCTAAGTGCACATTCCTTCTCTATGATTTACCTCCAAATAAATCTTTTGTGTCTCCAGTTTTCTGGAAGGGGGGAGTGTAACTTTTCGCAATTGTGAAATTTCGCAGACTAAGTAAAAAGGGATGGTAGGGGTGTCGGCAGAAACAGTAAAAGTGGCAGCAGTGTCTGGGGTCTGTGGTAGGCACACTGGAGGTAGAATTATAAAGTGAATGAAGTTTATTTTTTAACAGCCATTCATTCACAGCTATTTATTAAGCTCTTACTATGTCAGGCCCTGGGCTAGACACAAGGATACGTGAACACAAATATCGTCCCCAAAAAGATGCATAAAGGACAGGGAGTGAGAATCTTCTCTGAACCCATTAAATCACACAGTATACAAAAGCAAATTCTAGTTCCATCAATGAGGGAGAAGGGATGATCTTACTCCCAACAAGAAAGACAATTTGATTGATTTTAAGAACATGATCCAGTACCTGATTTTTTGAGTCATGGCATCTGCATCTCAAAGTTATATGAGCACCACCCCTACCATCATTTACTTAAAATTTTCTTTAAATTAAATTAATATTTTTTTCTTCCACTGCCTTTAATCAGTGAGGGAAATGGATACCTTACTTGCCTTGTGAAGGAGATAATATATTACAGTATTAGAAGATTCTCCACTGATTCTATTGCTCACTAAAACCTCTGAGAGCCTAAAACAAAAAGAGAGAGAGGAGGTTTACAAATGTTAATAAGGTTAAATATGCACTAACACCAAAATAAAACTTTTTCTTTCCTGTTAAATGAAGGATTGAAAATACTAAATTAAAAAGAATTTCTAAAATACTAAATTAAAAAGAATTAAAAAGAAAAACTTTCTCACTTTGGGTTTTAATCTTAATTAAGGAGGAATTCTGTACCACCAGAATAAATAAATACCACTGTGTTTACCCCACTTTGGGAAACACTGATCTGGTTGACCCATTCCTTCCAAGTCATGGTCCACCTTCTACCTAAACTTTTCTAAGGACAAGAGATCTTTGGAACACAAAGATCTTTGGGAAATGCTAACCAGTCTTTTGTATCCAAGAGGAAACAAACAAATGAAAAAAACAAAACAGGAAAACAAAGCCAAACATCTAGCTGCCTGTAACCCCTCGGCCCTATGACAAGCCCCATAAAAGGCTAAGTAGTCTCGGGTATTTCCTTCCAAATGTGTAGATCAGGAACTGAGTGAAACA